ATGAGTGAGAATAAAGGGACATCCAACGCCACCAAGAAGAAGTATGATAAAAAAGTATGAAGAACTTGAAGGAAGAAAACAATTGAATGAAAGAATGGCAGTTAATAGAGACAAAAAGGATTACAATATTACTTTTATGATGTCTGGATTACATGAAGATGGAAGAGTAGCATTTCAGGACAATCAAGGATATAAACATCAACTTTTAAACATACCACAGCCTGTAACTGTTACATTAAAGAAGGTGGGTGAGAGATGATGATAAGATTGATGAAAAGTTAGTTGGAAAATATGTATTAGCAAATCAATTTGATACATGGGTAAGGTCATTGAAGAATAGAATGAAATTGAAGAAAGGTGAAGAAGGAAGGATTACAAAAAAAGAGTTTGATAAATTGAATACAAGAGAGGAATGGGACAAATGGAGAACAGGAGAGGGAGTAGGTATAACACCACCCAAAAGAAGAAGACTTAAAGAAAAAACAACACAGGTTGAAGTCATACACGACACAGAACTATTTGAAAGGTTAAGGAAAAGACTTATATTAGATACATGGAGACAGCATAACATATCCACACAAAAAAAAGAACTACTTAACAGCAATAAAGATTACTGACATCAGCGATGTAACAAATAGAGGAGGAGCAGAAGTAGAAACACAGAGGAACTTAAAAGATGGAAATGAAAAAGGGCTATATCATTTTACAATTAATACTGAGTTGAATATTGATGCTGAATACTTCGTAGATGCCATTGAAGACCAAGAACACACTAACGGAGAATGCTGGATAAATCTATTGATAGACCATTATAAAGATACAATGATGAGTAAAAGCAAATGGGAGAGCAAGAGATTAACAAGAGAAAAGATACTGAAACTCATGAATAAGAGAGAAGAAGAGTTTAAAGAACACGGGCATCTGTTGAAGATGTGAAGGCGGTATTTGAAGAGTTTAGATTATCGGTCAGACTTTACAACTGTTTTAGCAAAAGAGTTTTTACTTTTGACCCCGATACGAAGAATAAAAACAATACTGCTTTATATGGATTGATAAAAGGAAACCATATATACACTATGAATGATAATGTTAATAGCATTGCTCATAGAGAAATAAATGACAATGTAAAATTATGTGCATCTACTGATTTTCATTTGAATCGTAAAGAAGAACCTGTTAAATATGAAATGTTTAATGGTGTGGATGATGCAATGAAAATATTAAAAGATAATCCTGACATTGATGAAATAAATTTGGTTAGTAAAAGGCATTTTAATAATGTATATTGAGATTTTAAAAGATGCTGTTATGAACCAAGTGCTATTATGAATGCTGGTGGCAGCATATCATCTATTAAACTTAAATTCAATAAAACAGTTTCGAATATCAGAAGTCAAGAATTAATAAATTGTGCGGTTGAAAGGTCTGAACATACTGATGATGCTACGTTAATGAAGGAATGTTTAAGTTTACCAAGGCATTTTTTTAACCCTCATCATAAATCATATTACCATAAAGATGATAAAAACATATTTGACATAGCACATAGTATAGCATCTTGCGGATACATGGATACAGTAATGAAAGAAAAAGGAGTTGACTTAGATAGGAACAAAGCATATACAAAAGGAACAATGGATATTACTAAAATCCCTATCTTTTGCGAATTTGATATTTGGAAGAAGTATGATTGTGAGAAGAATGACTTTAATAAAATGAATGAACTGACATTATATTTAGTCAAGAGTAAAGTGAAAAATATGTTTTTCAATAGGACTTATAATTTAAGTTATGGAATGTATTTGAAGAAATATAGTGAAGATGTTGAGATTATATATTACAAAATCCCTTCTAAATATGCCAAGGTTGATTACAAAAAACTAATATTGGACTTGTGGAATATGACATTTGAAGATTATGAAGTAAAAAATAAAAGATTAAAAAGATGTTGTTTAATATTAACATTGGGTTGTTGGAGAAGCAGAGCAACACTGTTAAGAAATCATGTGTATTTAATAAGATGGTTGATGCCTTTTACTATCAGGAGTTATACGGTGGTAATATCAATGTCATTAATGAGATTGAGAGAGATGATGAAGAGGATGAATTCGGTTTTACTAGTATCATTAGTCAGAATAAACATTATGTTTTAAACATATCAGATACTAAAACATTGAAGAACGGTTTCCACTACATAAAAGAAATGATTTTACAAAACCATAATTACGCTATGAATAATGCTTATGAAACACTGTTGAAGAGTGGTATTAATGTTTATTCAGTTAAGACTGATGCTTTTGTGATTGATAGGTTTAATTTGAAGAAAGCGCAGGGGTTATTGAATTTCAGTAATGCCATTGGAGACCGGAAATAAAATTACAAATGCATTCTTCCAAATAAACCATTTCATAAGCAGGTCAGTAAGATAGTAGATATAACTGAATACACTGATAGGACCGGTATAGTGAAAGATGAATGGAACACTGATGAGATTGTTGAAGACCATGTATTGACTAATAGAAGGTTGATGATTAGAGGCGACGTGCCGGGCACGGGTAAGAGTTATATATGTAAGCATTTACAGGAGAGAGGATATAATGTAATATTCGTTGTCCCTACAAATAATTTAAAACAAGAATGCGGAGTGGAGGCAATGACTATTCATAAGTTTTTTGGGATTAGCTACGGTGATGAAAGATTGGAGAAGTGTGATTATTCAGGTTTTGATGTCATTGTATTTGATGAGATTTATTTTCATAACCCCGCCAAATGGGTTTTAATTTGGGATTTCTGTTTGAATAATCCTGACAAGATTGTAGTAGCAACTGGGGATACAAACCAGTTGAAGAACCCTGAGAAGGTCAGTGATGTTTTTAAAATTGAGGACTAGGCCAATCATTGTATAGATTTAATTTTTGAAAATAATATAAAATTGTATGAGTGTAAGAGGTTAAAGAATGAAGAAGACAGGAAGAAACTATATGATATTAAAGATATGATACTGAATAGAAGAGAACCTATATTGAATGTCATTGAGAAGTATTTGGAATGGAGTGAGGGAGATGAAATTTGTGAAAACAATATAGCATATACAAATAATACATGCAAGAAAGTAAGTAAGAAAATTAGGGATATGAAAGGCATTAAAGATGAATATATTGAGGGAGAAGACTTGATATGTAGGAAATACACTAAGACTAACGGCAAGAAGTTTAATGTGAATATTAAATATAAGATTGTGAGTATTAAAGGAGATGATTTTATACTTGAAAATGTAGCAACAGGTGAGAGACAAGGGATAATAAGAAGACTATTGCAAAAGAACTTCATATATGCCTACTGCTATACAACACACTCAAAACAAGGGTGTAGCGTAGATGATGATATTGTAATTTATGATTGGAGTTTGTGGTGTTGTTGTCCTAATTGGTATTGGACTTCAATAACCAGGAACAGAGTTAAGTTTTACAAATATTACACTAATAATAATATGAGCAAAATGAAATTAGAAACATATTTTAAAAATAAAGTGATGAGTTACAAAGAACAAGACCAGAAGGCAGGTAGGGAAATTGAAGGAGATTATGTTGATGTAAGTTATTTAATGAATATGATGAATGAGACCTGCCAGAACTGTAATGAACCTTTGACAATAGATTTCAAAAATGATAATCATGAATATTGTATCTAATATAACATGTCAAAGAGTAGATACTGATGTAGCACACTTTAAGAGTAATTGTATTCCAATGTGCCATCAATGTAATTGCGCTTTTTCAAATAAAATATCATTCTAAATATATGTCCGATAATAAGCAAAAGATTATCAGTGATATTTAATGATAGAAGCGGTTTTGGGAGCAAGGCAACAACTTTAAAAGATGCCAGAGAGAAAGATAAAACTATTTCTATGAAAGATGTTGAAGATTTTTTTGAAAAGAATGTAGAGATAAAAAGAAAGCAGAAAGGGATGAATAGTTTTGCAGCACCCCATAATAATCACACTTATCAAATTGATTTGTTTTTAATGGGGTATTATGATTTTGATGAAGAACCAAAGTTTAGAGAGAAGGATTGGTGTGTATTGATGTTTTAAGCAAGTATGCCGTCGTCATTCCAATTGTAAGCAAGAATGAACGTGATGTTATTGAAGCAACAAAAAAGGCATTAGAAAAAATGGGTAAGAAACCAAAAAGCATTTTTATACAGATGAAGAAAGAGCAATAGCAGGAGGTGATTTTAAAAACTATATTGAAGGAGAACATATTGAGTTGTATAGAACAAGAGGGCACCCTGCTTTTGCGGAGCGTTTTATAAGAACTTTTAAAAATATGCTTTTTAAACGAGTGGAGGCAGATGAAAAGAAGGGGAAGGAAAATATCCAATGGGTTGATTATATATTGGAGATTATGCTTACTTATAATGACAAAATGAAACACTCCGCTACTGGCATGACACCGAAACAAGCAATTAAGAAAGAGAATGAATTTAAAGCAATGGTGAATGTAGCATCCAAAGCGAGAAAAGAAAGGATATATCCTGAACTATTTGTTGGAAGCAAAGTTAAGATTGTGAGAAAGAAAGCAATTACAGAGAAAGAGAGGACAAGTCATTTGCTTAAAGGTGACTATATTGTAGAGAGTATTTCTGAAAAACTGGGACAAAAATATTACAAAATGACTGATTATCCCAGACGACTATTGAGGCACGAGCTATTAAAAGTCTAAATTTCTTATGCTCATCAAAGTTCTAGCAAAAAGGCTTTATTAACACTATGTTTTTTACTTTTTTAGTTTCTTACTTCGTAAAAAAATATAATATGTTTACTTCTCCCATTCCTATGCCTCATCACCCTCTGTGTCAAGAGCGATGTTCTTATCCATCTCCTGTGGTCAGGGCGGATGCGAAGCGGTGGGTGGAAGGGGTGAAGTGGGCAAGTGTGGGGGTGCTCCTACATCCAACTGTCCTACATCCGACAGCCCCCAAGCGATTTTGCACGCTTAGCGAATCCAAGGACGTTTTCTGGCCGCGATCATCTCAACCAGTTGTGCATGGTTGCGATCGGTCTTCTCGTCCATCTTCGCTATCTTCTCGTCCATCTTCTTGTCCAGCGCATTCACCTCCTTCTCCAAAGTAGCCAGGCGAAAGGTGGTGTTCAACGCCAGCATATTCACCTCCATCTTCACGTCATTCACCTCCTTCCTCACGTCGCTGAGCGACGTTTGTGCCGTCTGCATGTCTTTAACCCAGGACGAGACGAGGAAGCCGGCCACACCTGATACCGAAAAAAACAAGAATTTCTCCGTGACCGGGTCGATCTCGGCCCGTCTTGGCAATGAGGACGTCCTTGCAGAAAAGCCACCTGGCAATGACATCTGTCTACCGCAAAACAAGAAAATGACTGCACAAACACGTTTCTTCGTTTCATGCCGAGCCTCCTGTTCCACAGAAGGAGTTGGACAGGCCCACAAAAAGCCACAGGATCATGCAGCAAGGGGCTGCCCGGAGAGTTCTTGCCATGGCTTTTAGCAAGTGTAATTTTATCATGAGCACGATGGCTGCAAGCAAGTTCAGTGTTGTCCATGATCACAAGTGAGACACCATCGCAATACACGAGTGAATACTCCTTGCGTCCAAAAATAAAAATAGAAAACTAACTGATCCAATCTTTGCTATGGCACACCTGTCTCTCTGCTCACCTCTTCCAGTCCCCAGTGCCCCCGCCTCTTCATTGAGGTTCTTGATGTCCCGGAAGCAGAACGGGGCGAGACGGTTGGCAAGGTGGAATTCGGTCTATAGATTTTACTTTTAGTATGGTCTCTATTTTACTGTCTCTGTTTTGGTTCTATGCTTTGTTTGGTGTGTTGGGGGTGCTTTTGGTTTTGTTCCTGTTGTTGTCTTTGTTTTTGTTTCTTGCTATTGCTTCTGTTTTTGCTTTGCTACTGTCATTGTTGTTTTCTTTTGTATATGTTTTGTTATTGCCTTTGCTGTTTTTCTTGCTGTTGCTCTTTGCTGTTTTCTGTGTTATTTTGGTTTTTGTTGTTGCTGTCTTTGTTTTTGTATGTTGTGTTGTTCTTGTTGTTGTTTGTGTTGTTTTCTGTGTTATTTGCTGTTTTCTGTGTTATTTGGTTTTTGCTGTTGCTGTCTGTGTTTTTGTATGTTGTGTTGTTCTTGTTGTTGTTTGTGTTGTTTTCTGTGTTCTTTGCTGTGCTGTGTGCTGTGTGCTGTGTTGTATGCTGGGGTGTTGGTTATTTTGTTTTCTGTGTTTTTGTTAGTGTTGTTGTTCTTGCTGGTTTATTCTTCCCTTGCTGGTGTGGTCGGGCGGTGCTGTGCTGTGGTGTGTGCTGTGTTGTGTGCTGGGGTGCGGGCGGGATAAAAGATAGGATTACTATTCACTAACTCTACCATAAACCATTGTTAAGCCACTTATAAACCAACTTAGCTATCTTGGGGGCCCCATCCTGTACATGTTGTTTATGTATCCCATCATTTCCCTGCCGATGAGTTACGCCTCGTAGCCTAATACCATAGATTTGCTGCTTGAATCACCCACGTCATTCCAAGTCATCCAACGTGAATGTGCATCCATGAATTCCAGTGGATGTAAGTGATAACCCCCTTCCACACCCAGTATAGGTGGACAATAATGTCCATGTTTTCGGTGGAAACTCACCCCATTATGAGCATGTTAAACGTGGAATATGAGGTGGAATATTGGGTAAATCATCAACCCCATTATAAATATAGTAATTAAATGTCATTAGAAACCCAATAACCATCCACAACCCCATATGTGCTAGGGTCAAAACATGGTGGAAATCCCATGGTCATCCCCTAGAAGGACAATCTCATGGGTGTTTTTGAATCCCCATCTTAGCTGGAGTGATGACCATCTTCTTTCATGGGGATATACTGGATATGCACCATGTTTTGACCATGGCACATATCATGGCCAATCAGCCAGAATTCAGCCAGATACCCTGCAAGAAATGACAAATTCTTCGCTGGTGAACGTAGAGAATCCCATACTAACCAGCCTAAAGGATCAATCCCATAATAGCCTAAGGATGAAACTACGGATGAAACTACCCATCTAAGATTGACCTACCCTCTGGTAATTTAACATAGCTATGGAAAATCACAATTTTTAATGGGAAAATCCACTATAAATGGCCATGTTCAATAGCTATGTTAGTTTACCAGAGGATAGATATGAACTTCATCTGTCAGCTCCCCAGTCATCCCAGTCATCCCAGTCATCCCCAGTCGGCACCGAGGCTTCCAAGCGCATCCGCCACATCTGCTCCAGCAAGGCCACGGCCACGCGCCATGCCGCAGCTTCGCAACAGGCCTTGGGCGAAGCTAACGCTGGATGCCCTGGATGTGGACGGAAGTTTCAATGGATTTTTGGGGTGTAAATGTGGTGAAAAATGGTGAAAACAATAATTAATAAACATCCCATGTTTGATGGTTTAAACCACCCATGAACATGGTGAATTTGGGAATGGTTTACTGTTGTTTTAACCGCATTATTATGAGAAATCATGGTGAATTTTCTGGGAAAATGTGGGGAAAAACAATAATGTGGCAAACCCAATAATCATAAACCATCCCAAATGATTGGCGAATAAACTGATGATTATTGGTTTCAACCTTGATTCAAGCCTGATACACAGTTAATAGTTTTCCGAACATTCAATACATCTGAAAAAAAACAGGAAACGGTGAATTGCCCTGTATTCTTTCCCATGAAATGTTGACTTGTCCACTTCTTGGTGGATTGGGAATGGTTCCGTTTGATGTGAATCCATGGCATCCCAAGCTTTTTTCGATGCCCTGGCCGCAAAGCTACTGAAGAAGATCGAAAAGTAACACCCGAAGATATTGAAGCTACTGAAGTAGTTAAAGCATGTTAAAGGTAATACTGAAGATATACTGAAGTAGTGGTAAATTCAACCTGTTCTCTATTTTTGTTGATGCTTTTTGGAGGTTCCAAAATGGATAACCACCGTCCATCCAACATCCAACGTCCCGATGTGAACCAGGCCGCGATGGCCGAGTTGAGAACGACGGTGTTTGGCAGAATCGCCTCCTGCGTGTTCCAGTGTGGTGCTCCAGTTTCTTGGCAAACTTTATTTGTATACTAGGCGAAGTAGGATCTAGGGTGTATATATATAATTTATATAACTATTATTATTATTATGATTATGTATATGTGTGTGTGCTGTGCGTGCGTACTTGTATTAAAATATATAAATACAGTTAAATACACATAGAATATAATAAGTATACACAGTTAAACATATCTATCTATAGATTCTATAGATTCCATATGCAGTAACTGGGATTAAGATTACATTGTTCACTCCGGGGGCACCACATTGTCGGTATTAATGGGTACTAGATAGAATGCCGTAAACCATGTTGACGCAGCATACCTTCGAAGTCATAGGTGCTGGAAACTAGCCAGCTTGCCACGTGCCGAATGATGGGAATAGGCTAAAGCCACAATGAGCAGGACCCCGTACAAGGTTGTTCCCTCGCGAAGCCATACAAGATGTCTGAATCCATGAAATCAATATGTCAAGTGAGAGCTGGATGACGATTTCGGAAAGGAAAGCAGCTGGGGTGTATCTGGTTTCCATCTACAAGATCTTCACATTGTCACCATAAATCACCCTGCCATGGGGGCCCCGAGACTTGACAGCTGCAACCAACAAATGGCCACCGCGGCCATAAATCGTGGGATCACTAGAGTTTCTACTGCTACAGTGGTACAGTACCCTCAGAAAGTAAACGATGACCCCCTGGCACCCCTTCTGTGTCATTTTACATCCGGCAAATCCATGGTCCAAATATGTAAATTGTCCAATCATTTAGTTATTTGAGATTCATAGGAAAAATGTTGACCTATATGGATTTTACTGGAAAGAATGCTGGATGTTCCCACGTTTTACCAGCGAGATTTAGTATGATATTAAGCTCAACATAGTATTATAACCATCCCCACATCCATTTTCCATTTTACCCTCTGGTAAAGTAACACTTTGCCATGGAACATCACCATAAAGTTTTGGTAAATCAACATCAACTGGTTGGTGGTTTTAACCATCTTGACAAATATGAAAGTCACTAGTCAATGGGAAGGATGACATCCCATATATTATGGAAAATAAAAAATCTTCCAAAATATATGGGATGTCATCTTTCCCATTGACTAGTGACTTTCATATATCTATTGGGATAATTTCTTCCAAACCACCAACCAGTTATTTTCACGATTTCATGGCCCTTTTTTCCATAGCAGTCACTGGTCGTCTCCGACCACCCATGACCACCCAGATCCAGTCCGACTGGAGCTGGGCCAACGCTCCAATGGCTTGCTGCCACTCCGAGCCTCGTATGGAGGAGATCGCTGCACCTCAGCGGAGGCCAAAATGGGTCGAAAAAGGGCTGGACATCACCGCTGAAGATGGGAAAAATCCACGAAATTGACCTGAAAACGGGTGTCTGCTTTCCAGAAATATCACCTGGTAAACATATACAAAAAGTTATTGAAAATGGTCATAGAAATAGTGGATTTTTCCATGAAACATGGTGATTTTCCATAGCTATGTTAGTTTACCAGAGGGTAAAATCCATGGAAATTGACCAGCTGGAACTCAGTGGAACTCCATGGAACTCCAGCCCCAAGCTGGATTTGTGTGACCCCATGCCATCCCAGCCACCGTGCATTGCACACGGGTGCCACCCATGGCATTCTTAAACCCTGATTGTTGTGACATCAACATTGTAATTAATAATGGAATCTGACAATCCATCATAATCCATCCCAATATTTCTTGACTATCACCTCAGTAACGTGTAGGAGTCAAGGATATTTGACCAAACTGGCCACATAAGGCAATGCCAAGAAACTATAGGCAAAAACATTGCGTCTCAAACCTTGGTTTCAGGTAGTGCCTTCTCCCCCAGCTCCAGGCATGGAAGTGGACAAGGCGCTTCTGGAAGTGTTTGAAGTTGGGATCAAGATCGTCACTTTGTATCTTACACCAGGTCCATAAAAACCAGGGAAAAAAAACCTTCCAGTCCAAGAAGCTGTAGGAATCCATGTCCTGCAGTTGCTGAATCGCTTCTTGCCATCGATTGCCACGGTCCAGGGCATTGATGCTGTTGCAATAAGCGATCTCATCCAGCGGCTGTCTGTAGCGACAAATGGCCTGGGTTGATACCGTTGATACCGTTGATGGAGCTCTTCGCCCCATGTCAGAAACTCTGACATACTTACAGTCACTTGTTGCCACAATCTGATTTCCAGGAATTCCAGGAGCTATGAAAATATGCAGACCCTAAATATCCTTAAATCATGTAAAATATAATATATATTATAACGTAAATAATACAGGCCCAACTATGTACAGTAATTCATTGACTAATCATATAATGAAATTCAGCGCAAATTCAGCCCAGAGGTCTGCCAATGCATGGCCCGCGGCGCGCCTGAAAAATCCACAAGGATTCTTGCCAGGCATCTGCTTTGTAACAGCTGGACATCAATGTGCTCAGGGCTGCCTCTGGAAGTTGGAGATTCGGAATTTTGCTGGGACTTGGATGTCAAGAAGAGGCGAAAAAAGAGGCCGTACATTTGTGTAGATGTAAAATATACATTTATATAAAATATTTATGTAGATGTATAATACTGTGGGGGGTATACATGAGGTGAGTAAATGTGAACACATTTATCAAAATCCAGTCAAATCCAGTCAGCCCAGTTGCAACTTATGGCTATGAAGTACCTTGCTAAGCACTTCAGGAAGCCAAAAAAGGGAAGAACTTCAGTTGCCTCTTGAATGTACCCTCTGGTAAACTAACATAACTATGGAAAATCACCATGCTAAAAAAATGGGCAAATTTAGTCAATCAACTATTTCTATGGCCATGGCTTCAATAGCAAACTGTTAAATTACCGGAGGGTATCATGTGGGCATTCATCGCTCCAACTGGTTCCCCATTTCCGCCGAGTGGCCAAGTTGAACCTCCGGACCTGCAGCGTCTCCATTTCCTGGGGAACATGGGCCTTCGGAACACCGGTCTTGCAGGAATGATATGATGATAATGATAGAGTGTGGTGGGGATCAAACTATCTACTGTAAACATGTTATAATATTTTATAGATATGTTAGCATGGTTTCCCTTGTATCAGTTTAAATCTATATAAACCACATTAAACGACTATCATATTTGGTAAGGTCAGGGTGACGGACCATGCTCCCAGCATCTGCTCGGAAAAGCTGCAGCGCTTTCTGCCATGAGTTTGGCGCCCCTCGGCTGCCGGCATGGCTGTACCCGTTTTGGGTTGCTAACAGCATAGGATTCTCGTGGAGGAAACAGCAAACTCGGTGGATCTCGGCGATGACGGCCGGGATGACTATGGGGATGAGCCCAGAAATTCATGAATTTCTTCGAAGCTGACCTGCCCATGCCAAGCATGCCTAGCAAAATGACCCCTGTGCGGACAACCATGTTTGATCATTTGCGGACAATCGGTTTGATCCTAGGATATCCTAATATATCCTAGGCTTACTTACATGTTTACACTCGCCTTTTGAATTCATACAGGATCATACAGGATATTGTACTCTGGCCTCCAGTCACCTGATGTGCAAATGGGAAGTCTTTATTTGCCCATTGCAGAAGGGGGATTTCCCATTGCAGTTGCGGATTACTCTTCGATACAGACAGTTGGAGCAATCACGGAAATGGTTCAAGGACGTTTAAAGCCATTCTTCATGCAAATCGGACAGGTTTTTGAGTCCTTCAAAAGATGGAAAAAGACAAACAGTAGCAAAAATCCAGATAAAACTTGATAAAACTGAGTTTTTGCTAATTTGTTCCATATGTTGTTCATTCTTTTGATCTTTTTGGGTGGTTATAACGCATCATAACCCATGGATCGAGCTCCAGCGCCACCGGTGACGTTTCCGGGCTCGGCACCAGCGCACGAAGAACAGCTGCACGACCGCCCTTGGGACCTGCCTGTGGCGTTGAGGTCGACTTGTTGCTGGGAAACGGTGGGAAAATATGGGAAATCATGGTGAAATGTGTGGGAAAATATGGGGAAATTGTGGGAAAATATAGAAATTTGTGGGAAAATATAGGAAATGCCTGGCAATTTATAGAAAATTTGCCTATAAAAAAAGTTGGTTTACCCATTAAACTAGTGATTTTCCATAGCTATGGTAGTTTACCGGAGGGCAAATGGAAATACATAATGTTGGTAAAGCAATAGGATCCACCATCCCATTTTTAACTGGGCTATAACCCTAATACTGACATCTACTTTCCTACAAGCTGGTGCGCCCCAGTTATGTTTCTTGTTTCAAAAAACCCATGAACTAGTTCGATATATCTACTATATAAACATCCATAAGCATCCATAAGCCATAGTTCACCTAGTTGTACACCAACTTAGCTATCGTTTCAGGGCCCTGGTAAGGCATTGGGATGCACCTGCTTTGTTTTGGTGACATGGGGGCCATGCCCAGGATTTCACAGTGATGTCAATGGCAAAATGGCAAGAGTGTCCACCAACCTACCACAGATGAGCATGTCCAAAAACAAACAGGCACAGTACCCCATAAATCCAGAGTCTTAGGTTGTTCTTCTCATTCAACTAGCAACTTTGGTGTGTGTGTGTGTGTGTAAAAATATAGAAATATACATATATGAATATATAAATACATATATACCCTCTGCCTGGTAAATTGCAAATTTTATGGGGTTAAAACTCTGATTTCGGCAGTTTTTCATGGGTTTTATGGTGTTACTCCTCCTTGGACACCCAACATGCTACACCCAGGCGGCTCCTCCTTGGCAGCTTCGATGAGGATCTCCTGGCACTCCTCACGGGTCTGCCCCAGCGCCTTAGTGATCAACAAGGCCCAGGGGCCCAGGGATGGGTTGAACTGGGAAAACATGGAAAAAAACAACGGGAATTTCCAGCACCATCTCGAGTGAGACTGCCTTTTTCGGCAGGGGTGAGCGGGCACCAAACGCAGAGTCAACGTCGTGACTTAGCGAAGCCAAATTAACCGCATGTCTCATATGAAGCGGTTTAATTTCACCGTCACTGCCTTGAAATTCACATTTTGAAATTCACATGGATCCAATTAGAAGCAATGGATGCTCGGCCCTGGTGCTGTTTTGCCATTGTGATGTTCTCAAAAGTTATCCGTTCGCCCATCAAATCACACAGACGTCCTTGTAAATTCGAATTGGATGCTTCAAATATATTCAAATGCGGAAATTGTTCATCTGCCGCTCCAACTGGTGGCTTCCAAACATTTTTGGGCGGCGGCCAACCAGGCTTCATTCTCTCAACTTAGGTTGGAAATGGTTGAGCAAATGATTGAAACCATCCACCAAGATGCAACTTATCACTTAGCAGTCTAAAGTGCAAACACGTGTAATTAAAAAAGACATGATGGAAAGCATCTTTCTGTAAATGTATAGAATCATATAGAATTCTTTTTGTATCTTTTTGTAAATGTATAGAATCAGCACGCTTAGTGTTCATATATCATGCCAATAATTATTCATGTTTGGGGCAGCCAACCCCATCAACATCCTGTCCGCCTCCTTCCAAGGTCTGCACTGTTCCGTTGGCGCTATGTTCCACCGAGGGCGCCTCACGGAGCTGAACTTAGGGTACCCCTAAGTCCGCTGATTTATCATCATTTCCCTGTTACCCTCTGGTATTTTTTTAACATAGCTATTGAAAATGGCCGTTTATAGTGGATTTACCCATTGAAAATGGTTATTGTCCATAGTTATGTTAGTTTACCAGAGGGTAGGTTGGCAATTTGGGGGGTATAGCCCAATTTTAGACACGTATGAAACTCACTATTGGAGAGTGAAGGGGGTATAATTCTATAGGGATAGGCATATACACCCAATTTCATCCCAATCTTCTGCATATTGGAGAATGAAGCAGAATGAAACTCACTACAGATAATCTGGTAAACTCGATGCCATAAACCTATATACTACATTTAGCGATTCTTTAACTACCATCCAAAGATTGGAGATTGTTTAAAGTTTTAGGGTTGCCAGATACAAACACGACAGTCATATCGCCATTTAATGTCTTGTGTTTTGTTGTGAAAGATTGAAGTTTTTCTGCAAAGCAAGCGAACTAGGTTCGACAAACAGGAGTTTCTGGTTCAACATGAACTGTTTGAGTTGGGTTTATGAGATCATAATTTCCATGCAGACTGACAATCACGAACGAAGAAGATAAACAACAATCAACAAAATCAAACCACAAATCAACATCATTGTCTGCTTTTTGTTGCTGTGATTATTTAGCTTTATAATGTTTTATTTTTTCTGGTGCGTCTTGCACTTCGGCCCCTGACCCTCCCCGTTGATTGTTGGATGTCTTTCTGATTTATTTTGTTGTGTTGTTTTTCGGGCATTTTTTTCACTTTTTTTGGCTGGTTGTGTTTACTTTTTTGTTTTGACTCAATTGTATGCTAGGCTCTGTGTGGTCCTTTTTTTGAAAGGTGCTCTGGCAATCCGAAAGTCTGGAAGTTCGACGAACATCATCTCCGGCTGTTTGTTTTTCTCGGTTTAACTGTATATCTTTAACCTCCATTGTAAACCCCAAAAAGATAGAAAAAGTTGCCAACTTTGAAAGTATGGGGGAAACAAGGGAAGACAACATCTATAACATCCTTGAAACACTTTATTAATCTCTTTTCCAGCTTTTTCGGAGGTTGTAAAAACCGATGGAAGACTAGTGAATTGCGATCATCACCCACCCAAGTAGGGCACAAGGTCTAAACCGGTTTTGCACAGCCATGTCTGAGTGCCAGTGTGTAATGGTGTGTAGGGCTTCGTCTTTGCACGGCAAACCTCTACTTAGATTCAATGGTGATATTCCAATGGGCCCAAATAATTACCCTCCGGTAATCAAACGTGGCAATGGAAAATCCCCCATTTATAGATGATTTTCCCATTAACACCTCCATTTATAGGGGATTGTCCGTTGCCATGTTTGATCTGATCACCGGAGGGTAGATTGCCAAAGAGTGAATAATATTTACCTGGTCCTAAACTGACCCATCCTGGTCATACATCCAACCATCACCCCAACTAACATGAGGACCCCACTAAAGGATGTTTTTGCTGCACGCTTCGTCCAACAAGCTGTTTCTCAGCCAACGGATCGCACCTCTTCCATGGTTCGTTCCGCAGCCGTTGAGAAGACCTTAATGGCTGGATGTAGGGACTCCGTAAAATAGCAATACATTTGGGTTTGTCAGAAAGTCGTCAAGCCTTAAAATTGTTTGTTAACTTGTTTATGGGGTGTTGCACAAGCTGTTTTGAAAATGCAAACATATGCAAACATAACCAGCAATTTAGCGAGAGGATGCGAGAGGTGCCTGAGATAACAAAACATATCCATTGAGGATTACAATATCAAACAGTACCATGAGCAAGTATTCTTATCATGAAAACATTTGACAAAGCGACGGATTTCTTCGGACGCCTTTTTTGGCACCTGAACCAGCCCAAACTGTCATTCCACACATTGGCGCCACCAGCAGCGCAAGCCAATGATGAACTCGAGCCTGCCCGGCTCAAGTACCAATGATTCAATGAGGTAATTTTGGCAAAAATAGAGAGGTAGTTAGTTTGATGATTTGATAATATTTGATCATGAGCGATTGCACCCTTGAACAAACATACGCATATAATAATCGCATTGATGTTTCTTCCAACTGCTCTCCGACTGCCAAAAAAAGGTCGCCCGGCTCTTACGCTCTTTTTGTACAACGCGACAATCTCTTCCAGCGCACTTTGGCACAGGTCATACTCCAAGTACTGCAACATTCCTCTTCGATACTTGGCCTGCAGCTTGACAGATCATGTTGTTTCATGTTGTTCCTATAGTACTAGAATAGTTGTCCCATCCGTAAGCAAAGCTGGCTGGCTGGGACATGCCGAAGAGAAATTGTGATTTTAGGAAAATCCTCGCTAAATGGGGGGATTTTGCAGCAAGCCATGTTTGCTTGCCAGAGGGTAAATCAAATTCCTCTTTTTGGGGGTTCTTATAGACCCGGTAAGACAAGAGTCGACAAGCATGACAAGACCCACGTGCTTGCGACTTTGGGGTTATTTAGATATATATATACATACAGATTTGTAAGTGTCAAAACCTTGACAGATCCGAACAAAAGTTTGGAAACTAATGGGCACTGGCCCCCTCAATCACCTATCACCTCGAAAATGGAACATAAAGAGGTAAAAACAACCTTCCCGGAACCAAAAACAAAGGTCCAGCACATGTTTTTCCATGCAGGTCTTGAGTAAACATCAGAAATGTGGCAAACCGGATAATCAACTATCCCAGTAGCTAACTATTGGGGGGTCATTATCACTATACATCAATCGAAATAGGGCTACATAGCCATTTTCAATGCCAATGGGCTACGCCACCCAAACCGATAACCCAATGGGATCCCATGAGGATTTTGAGTGTGGTCATTGGGGATCATCATCCCACCTCTATGTAAAAGGCCCCTCAAAAGAGGCCGGACAGTGGGAAACCTGGAAATATTAGCTATTTATCTCTATATATATATATATATAACTATGTGATATATATATATATATATATTCTAATTGTATATATATATATTATAATTATATATATAATCATATTATTTATATCATCGATAACATCCTCGTTGTACCAATCCCGCATCAAGTCGCATCACACCAGCAATCCCACAGCATTCGCCAGGACCAGCGGTCGCTTAAGGTCTCCGTAAAGCACCTCGCGAAGCTCAGCGCCTGCCCATCAGATCCCATATGTGGGAATTGGAATTCCTATAGGAATTCCCGTTCAAAACATCCACCCATTTTGGAGATGGGAATTCTTCCAATTGGTTCCTCAATTTCATAACAAAATTCGAAGATTCCTTCCCATTTGCCAAAAAAAACAGCGCCTCTTCGTGCTCGTGCTTGTACTTGGGCCCTCCCAGCGGACAGCGAAGTTTCCACTCGCTCAAGCGGCCCGTGTCGTTCAAGGATAGGGCGCTGGTGTCAATGTCCTACAGTGGCTGGATGGCAGTGGTTGAGAGGTACATATGGTACATGTTGGGTTTGAGATTGGCTTTGGGCCTGGCTATGGGACAAGCCAAGGATGGTTTTAACTTCATCAAAATTAGATGAGAATTGAACCCAATCACACACTAAAACAAGATCAGATCTAAACAGTGACATTTTGCAAATTCCTTAGACCTCAGCACCCGAGCTTAAAACGAGACCAAACTTCGTAGACCGCTATGCCACAAAGCGTCACAGCCTTTGTCTGGAATGACCTTCCAAGTAAATGCGAACTGGTTGGTCTAGTCAACCTCTGGTTCACCACAAAGCATCAAGAACCACAATTTTACCATATTTCACCCATACGCATCATTACGCATAACACATTTCACAAGCCTGTCACAATAAAGCGCTATCCTCATCATCATCATCATCATCATCATCATCATGACCACTTCTCCCACGGCCTTGCGACTGTAGCGGTTGGAACACTCAAGGTAGGCCGGCACCTGCGATTCGCCAACGAGATTTCACCATCCTGGAATCCTGGAATGCCATGGGAAACACCCAATACATAGCAATACCAAAACAAATTCAAACACTAAGTGATGTAATCTAGGGTAATACCCATTCCAGTTAATGGAGAATGTTATATCTATAGTTAATGGTTATTTAATACCAATTCCAAATTAATCTAGGGTTTATAATCCCCATTAACTATAGATATAACATGACATCACCCCCGAATCAACCCTAGATTAATTGCTGGTTGGTGGTATACCTACCCCTTCGAAAAAATCTGAATGAGTAACAGTTGGGATGATGACATTCCCAACATATGGAAAGTCATAAAATTCATGTTCCAAACCACCAACCAGACTATATCTTTCGAGGAAAAAAAACATCTCCCAGGGATGCCACCAAATGTCAGGTGCTAAAATTGACGCTCCCCAGGTTATCAGCAACGGAAACCCAAGAGGGGGGATACTGTAGCCCAACGATGCAATTATTGTGCTCTTCAACGTGCTGGCACTTGAGATGGCTATGGACAACAGCTTATACATTATTCTACATCCCCTTGATGATTATGATGACCCATATGCTCCATGTATGGAACATCCACCAGTATTTGCCTTAAAAATCACCCAAATGTAGGCAAACATACCATACATGGAGCATATGGGTGATAGGTTTCTTCATCCCATGAACTTTCACACACTTCTCTTCATTCTTCAACAGGAAGGGACCCAGGGGGACCTAGCCAGCGGCATCATGGGCCCCGCCGCCCTTCCGCCGCCCATCCGCACCGGGACGCGTCGGATCCGCTGGGTGAAGCCCAACGTCAAGAGCCGCAGACCAAAGAAGGTTTCAGCCCCCCACCACGGAAGCGAAGGCATCGCCTTGGGAACCAATGAACCACGGAAAAAGATGTCGTTTTTCTGGGGCCAAACAACTGGGGATGATAGGATGTACCAATGCGCAAAACAACGTTTTTGTTTGTATTGTTCTAGCTCCGAGAAAAGCAATATCACGATGGGAGATGAGACCAAATGACCAGCATTTTCTCTGTGACTTAGAACGCTAGAACCAACAACCCAAGGACCAGGATCGGCTGACCCAGCCTGCTGCATTTGAAGAACCACACCATCCAAAATGCTGTCCTCGGCAGTCCGAAATGGATGCCCAAAATGGATGCCCGAAATGGTGATCCCAATCTTTGACAACAGCAGTAACTTCCAGATGTGTGCCTACAATGTGGTGCCCCATAGCCCAAACGCTGGTTTATAGATTACCAAAATCTATGGTGTATATGATCTTAATTACATGTGGTTATATATCTATATGGTTAGCTTGTAAAATATAAAACAACTCATAACTTTGGGGCACCTCCCAGCGTACATTTCAGGGATACCTGGCGTGTTGGCCTTGTGGCTCGATATTGTTTTTTAACAGGCGGAGGAGCTACATATGATCATATAATCACTGCTTGGTGGTGCAATAGCCATCTTGAAACATATGAAAGTCAATGGGAAGGATGACATCCCATATATGAAATGGAAAAAAATATTGAAACCACCAACCAGATCATATATTTGTGCAACCTATAGGTTCATAATGTTTCATATGTAGAGATATATGCGTGCATGAATGTGCATATCTATATATATATACATACGTACATACATGCTTCTGTGTGTGTATCCCAACATTGCTCCGTGAATGTGTGGGTTTTGTCCAAAACAATCGCTTGCCATCGTTTCCACCGAAAGCACATGGCCATACATGGGGCCTTCTGCGATCACATGTTGGCTTTGACTGGTGAAAATCCACCTTCTTGGAATCACAAATGGTTAAAGAATGAAATATTGCATTGATATCCCCCAAAAGAATCCCACCATTGTTCCATGTTTCGTTGTTGAACTTCGTAAACCTATCAAGACATATCGTAAACCATGTTTCTCCAAGTGTTGAAGCTTCATTTCCATCCAAGTCCATATATATTCCAATTGTGATGCTTTCCATATATATATATAGGTATTATATATGAATATGAATATTTATTTATCTATTTGGCGGTTGTTCTAAGATTCCTTTATCTTCGCACAGCCATTCTTCACGCATCAACAACAATATATATATATTATATATATGTATATAAAACTATATAAAACTATATATAACTTATGTAACCCACGGATATCAGTTGATGGTTTTTTCCCCCACCTGGTGACAAAAATTTGTGCGGCAAGTCGCCCAGGCCCCCAGCATCATCTCCATGAGGCTCCTTGGAAAGATCCAGTGGCGGTCGTTGAGGCCGCCGTTGTCCTGACCAAAAAAAGGTGGGGACGTAGCGATACATCATGGTTTAAGCAACCGACATGCTTATTTAACCTGATTTAACCCAGCAAAATGACCGTTGAAGATGGTTTAAGCCAAAGAAATATAGCGATTTTAAGCAAGAAACATGGGATGGAACTGATGGAACCAGCTCAACCCTGATCATTTGGTATAAATTGAGTGGAAACTCATCTAACCCTGGCAGGGTCGAGCTGTTAATTGGAGGGATGGTAGCTGTTCTGGCAGGATCATCACCATGGAAAAAAACATCACACCACCGTCGGTGATTGTCACGGACCGGTGATCGATCGTCGTGAATCGTGGATGGTGAATGGGGCGACATGTGGCGACGAATGGAGTTCTCGCTTGAACATCATGGGGGTTTATGATGATCACTATAAATGAGGATTAAAATGATTAAATGACCTGTAGTGATCACTATGGGTTTCTCCCCCAAAACAATGTCTCCCGGGGGGACAAAATTTCACAATGAGGATTTGATCATCAAACATGATCAGCGTCCAAGGCGTATCCAGTCCGGGGGGGACCCTGATGGGTCCCTATCATGCCATAGATGTGGAAGATCAACAATTTCTAGATGATTTTCCGAAGCCAACACGTTTTCCACATCTACGAACGAGTTCGTTCAAGCTAGGGCAGCTAGGGCTAGGGTAAACGATCCAGCTTTTTCTTGGGTCCAAGAATTTTGAACCAACCTGATATGAATCATATGAAAATTGCATGAACTTGCTTTGGAACATAAATTGGGTCCCCAAAAAGCCGCTGCAGATGATGTAGCAACAACGCTCGGACTCATCGCTGATCTTTAGTGGTACTAACGACAACCAATAAAGCCGCAAAAGCGAAGACTTCCTCAAGGCATCTTTGAAGTTTGACTTGTGAATATACTGCACTCCTTCTTCCACCCGCTGTTCCGACATCTTGAATCCCTACATTTTTCATGATCTCATATTAGATCTCATGATACCATGACTTGACGATGTGACCTCACCGTTTCAGCGAAACTCCATCAATCTCCTGCCCATCCATGATCCAAATGTGCTCCATGGACAGAAAGCTTGGCGGCACATGAGGCGCCGTCCAATGAAAATCCGGACGGCTGAAGACCACTCGCTGGTAGCGGTGACTGTTCTTCGCCTCCCAGTCCTGGCTAGGGGAGGGCTGAGCCAAAATCCTTCACTGACTCGGGTATGTTTGTTCAATAAAATATAGTGTATATATAAGTATATAGATAGATAGATAGATAGATAGATAGATAGATAGATAGATAGAACACTAAATTACAGTATAAGCTTTATTGATCTTTATTGTAGGTGCTCTTATCTATTCCTTTACTATCTAGTTCTTTGTTTCTTACCTCGATATGTTAGAACATCTGACATTTGCTTCACAGAATCCCCGCATCATCCCCGAGTTGATGGGATCATTTTAAAACGTGCCCATCTCCTGAATCATCAGCATGCACTGCTTCTGCCCATAGATGAGGCACAATCCGCTGCCCTTGCGGCGCATGTCTTTGCCTGGGATACCCTCTGGTTATGGCTGACATAGCTCTTGAAAATGGCCATAGAAATAGTGAGTTTTCCCATGAAAAATGGTGGATCTTTCCATAGTTTTTTGTATGTTTACCAGAGGGTAAGTCATGGATAGACCATGATGTACCGGTGAACCATTGACCGGGAAGGAAACTTCTGGGATCTCCAGCTCTGGGATAAACATGCTCAGTTCATGATGGAGGTCATCGCATATGGTTGATGAAAGTTGTTTTTTCAACCCATGGCCCTGCGAAACAAACCACAAAACCTGGAGTTGCTCCTTGCCTCCACCCATCGTTGACCCCATTTCAGAGGTTCCAACTGATCCAACATCGACCGTGCAGGCTTTCAGATCGTGAAATCTCCCATTTTGTGAGGTTTCCTAAAAATGGTGGTACACCCCAAATCATCCAAAATTAGACTTAGAATTTAGTATTGAAACACCCATGGTTTTAAGAAACACGGAAAAAAAAGTCATGAAAAACGCAACAAACAGCTCCGAGCTACCCTGATTCTCAGGCCTTTCACGCTCCAAACATCCCAGCCAGTTGCCCCTGATCTGCAAAGCCCCGGGCAAAAACGGCGACTTGGCCCCTTGACCTTCAACGCTGACCCCAGAAATTGAAGGAACACAGGAATTCCTATAACTCAAGTGCTTGGAAAAAGCTCTACTGAGCCACCTGTGAAGTGGATAGTTCAAGCTAACATTTCTCATAATTTCTCTGTCTTCTCATGAGCCATGGCACAAAAACACCAACAATTCAGCTTAGCGCGGATGAAATACGATCCACTAACTATCCACTGCTCAGGTGTACTGCGCCCAGGCTCTATACAGAGCCGCAGTGACGTTTTCATTCCTCAGACCACACTGAACGGCCAAAAGACCTGGATCCCAAGGTCAAACTACTCTGGGAAATATGGCTGTTCTCTGGAAATTACAGAAAAACCGCCCAAAAAAAATTTGATTAGATATGATTAGATTATAACATATTATAACCATGTTTTTGTTGATTGCGTATGAAGTGATAATGCACGGATATACCCAACTCCCTGACAAACCTACATTTGCATGTCACACTCATCCCTACTTCCAAGCAACATTCATTTACACTATTTGCCGGGAAGCGTTTGGCGAAGTTTGTGACATAGTTTTGCAACTCCAAGAACATATATCATATTATACAATAGGTAAGCCAACGTGGGCCAGGTAAGGCTTACACGAAACATGATGGGACCACGTAGGACTGCTTTTGCACAATATGCTGCCCCACCAATGGCAGACCCACACACACACAAATTGTCTTGCCTAGGAATTTGCAGACTCGAATATATCTCCCGCTCCATCGTGTATGCAAATATATATATAACGTGATTGGTCGCCCCAATGCTTTTGCTGATTTGAATGCGCTCAGTGTGTATACAGTTGAACACGAACGTTATTAGGGGGCTTGTGCGTGCACAACTTCTGTGAAACGTGCACAACTGCTGGGAAACGTGCACAACATCTCTGACACGTGCACAACATTTCTGAAACGTGCACATATAGAATACTTGAAAACACTGGGTGGGGGCGGTGAAACACGTTATACCCATACATATAATTATATATATATTGTAGAGGTATATATAGCTGCAGCACCATATTTGTAACAAAAGACTGTGGTTATGGAAACACCACAACCCCCAAAAAAGGGGCTAAACCATCTGGGAGAAACCATCCCAGAAAGAAACCATCTGGGAGACTCGGGAGATGTAGTTTGATCATCATCCAGTAGATCGGACCATACCCAGACATCGACCCGTTTGAGTTTCCAAAATACATTGACAGATGTATTCCTGATATGATGTGAATGGGAATCATTACATATCAATAGCAACCAATATCAACCAATAATTAATTACACTGGGAAATGCATCAAAATAACTATAATGAACATGTCTTCTCTTATTGGGTTTAGTTTATATACTTCATCACGAACATCGTCCTCCAGTCATGTCCACAGCGCCTACAGCGCCGAGAATCTCAAGCCGTATCTGCTGTAGGCTCCTGTCGATTGGAGGTACCGTACCGACCTCCAATTATGAGGCCTATTTTTTTTGGGCTATGTAAGGGGATATTGCATCCTTAGATGGTACAGTACCTCTATACACACCAAGGAATTCTTGGGACATGTGTTTGATTTTAAGAGATGTGCAATCAGTTTTTGATCCGGCCCAAAAGTTGATATTCTAAATACTTCAACATCAAAATCCTTCCGTTTTTTTTTTAATAGATGGGGTATAGATAAGTATAGATAAGGTTTCCAACTACCAAAATGGTGATGTTGTCCTTCTTCCATCCCCTAAATAAGACACCCTCTGGGTATCTAACATAGCTATGGAAGCCATATTTAGTTCGATGATTTATGATGATTTAGCTGTGATAAATCATAGTACCTAAACATCCTAAACGGCTAGCCATCCGATCTAACATCCTAAAATCCCTTCTGAAATCCCTGAAGTTGATGATTCATGTTTTTTTTTTTAATACTACAGTACTACCCCCCATAAATACCCCATAGAAAATCCCCATGAAAGTTCCATGGGTTAAAATGGACCTCACCGTGTCCCCTTGGACCGCCTTCCGAAGAGCACCAGGCTCGGGAGCCAGGTCTCGGAATCCAAGGTGGGCCCCGTGACGAAGACATCCGCCTCCAGGGCGTCCACCAGGAAGCGCTGGATCTTCTCCACCGTGTTCTCGTTTCGGACCCAATGATAGGATGGATGGCTTAGGATGGATGATATTTTTTTTTAACAGATCTGGACTCACTAATATGAACATTGATGGTTATATGGTTGATGATGATGGATCTTGATGTTGAGATACTTTCATATTGTTGATATTTATAAATATATATATATATGATATGAGATTTCATCTGAGAAAGAAAGTATAAAAAAAAATGTTGGATGGAAAATGATGTTGCCTCCCAAGGAAGTTGATGGTTAATCATCAAAAAAAATGTTTGATGGATCACAAGCGATGGTTGATGGTGGCGTGTAGCTCCACCTACGCGAGGGGATTGTTCTTGGGATCTGAAAAACGCAAATGGTTGGGACAATTAAGCAGGGCCATTGGATGGGAATGAACTCATCGAGGTCTGATAGCAAAAGATAGCAATTTTGACATGTTAACCTTACTAACTCACAATCGTGATTGTTATTATGGAATATTAATCATTCATGGATTGTTATTATGGTTATTGTTATTATATATATATATTATGCATATATAAATGGGATTATCATTCCATAAATGGGATACCAATAGTGACATGATGTTCCACCGCATGCTGAGCAGGTGATTATCGTGCCGATTCACCATCTGGAAAAGAGAGCCTTAAATGGGCAGATGGAGAAGCGCCAAGCATGTGCAGGCTGGCGGGAAAGGGGAACAACATGAAAAAAAAAACATGGCTATCAAGACATTACATCACTTGGATTTTGATTGCAATCCGAAGACAATAAAAAACAAAACACCAAATAGAACCAAAAATATATGCGCATGATTCTATATAATACATCATTAATTTATATAATATCATATTAGAATATATTAGATTCATGTTTTTCGGCCTCACCGGAGCTGGTTGAATCATGAACCATGTTGGTTCACCCCATTTTCACCGTATCTCCATAGAAATTGGCGTCAATCCCGGAGATCCCAGTAATGAACACTGGTTGATTAGCCTCTGGTAATTTGTTACAGTTTGCTATTGAAGCCATGGCCATTGAAATAGTGGATTTAGCCATGAAACATGGTGATGTTCAATAGTGATGTTAGTTTACCAGAGGGTAATATGATTCATATATGAATACTGGTGCTAAACGCCAGGGAATTTCGGGAATGATCCACAAGAACTATCAATAATCATCCCAGCAACCCCCAGCAACCCATCCATTCCCTACGTTTAGCACCAGTATGTGGGGTTCCCAATTCAACAGCTGTGCCAAGTTTCTGGCAAGCTGTGTAGCAGCCCCGCAAGGCACACCGCCGTTGCCCGTGGCATGGGACGATGACGACGATGTCATGTCTTGTTTTTTCTGCAAAGATGTTGGATCTACATCAGGAAAGGTTGGAGAAATCTGATTTTACCAATGAAAAATAAGATCTATGCATCTATGCCATGGTCATAACATATTATAAACAATATATATGATGGTTTCTGGTCATCCATCCCCTCATGGGACTTGTTACTTAATGGGTATTTAAAAAAAACGAATGGATTGATGACGATCCCCCCTAGTTGGGGATCATTTTCCAGGGGTTAACCACTCTGGTTATGACTAACAGTTCGCCATGGTTTGTTGATGGCCCTAATCGAAATAGATGGTTTACCGATGTTTACCTATTAAAAATGATGATTTTCAATAGATGGTTTACCGGTTTACCGAACTTAAAAATGGTGGATCTTTCCATGGCTATGTAACAAATAACCAAATGGTAACATCAACATCCATAAACTAGCAATCCGTCTTCCAATGAGGAGCGCTACTGAATCATCTCGGCACATTTGAAAGTTTATCTCTCAAAAGGCAGTTTTGTCTTTTGAACAGAAAAGAAGCTGAAGATGCAAACAACAAAAAAATGATGTTTACATTATTTACTATCATGTGGTCTCCAACTGGCTCCCCACTGTCCCCACTTTTATTTTGGCGCATCATGCCCCCGGCTCCAAAACGCTCCCTCCTAACACTCTGTAGCTTTAAGCCCTGGCAACTTCAGTAAGGAAGCCTGACCCCAACCAAATTCCAGATATTTCAGTTTGGCTTGGCTCCAAAAAAGAACAAGAACGGCCAGTGATTTGAAGACCTTGAAAATCATCCAAAAACGACTTTGCTTTGCTCAGGTCTTCTCATTCCTGACTGATGCGTCCTCCTCACCCTTTCGGTCAATGCCGATTTTGATGTCTTCAATGGCATATTCAGCCGCCCGAGTTGGGTGGTTTCAAGTTCAAGATCTTCTTCTGACCAGAAACATCTAGGCAAGAGATCATAATCCTTGCTTCCATTACTTCCCATATCATCAGTTGTGCTTGGGGAGGTGTAACATGGACACTCTTAGAGAAAGTGATGTCATATCTATTCATATTCCCATCTATGGCAAACCAAAGTGTACGAAACTACCAGTCACCAGTCAGCCTATACCTATGTTTCATGGATGTTCATGCTATATTCACCAGATTGTGTTGCTTTCAACATGCGTTTCATGGATTCTCATAGGTTTTCATGGCTATATTCACAATATTTATGGGTTACCCTCGGGTAAACTTTCACATAACGAACCGGAAAATCACCATGCTAATTTTTGATGGGGATTCATCAACTATTTCGACTGGGCCATGGCTTCAATAGCAAACTGCAACAAATTACCAGAGGGTATATCCCATTAATCATCATTCATCACCAATAAATCACAATTAACCATGATTAACCACTATTAAATCACATTTTTCAATCACTATAAATCCCATCTTGAAAGCCCACCTGGTTGAAGCCCCCCACCTGGGGAGGCTCCAAAGACCACAGTGACCTCTGAAGGGTTTCCCACCGCCACCTCCGTGCGGAAAAGATCGAAAGGATGAACCGATTGCCATTGATTTACCTATGAAAAAAATGGTGATTTTCCAAGCTATGTTAGTTTACCAGAGGGTATAATTCGAATTCTACGATTTTGTATCTTTGACATTCTTTGACTATATTCATATATACATATATTTTCATATATACACATATATATATTCTTTGGCATTCTTTGACTATATTCATATATACATATTATGAATATATATATATATATATTATTTGGCATTGTTTGACTATTTGCATATATATATATATATATATACATTCATATATATATATATATAATGATATGTATTTGATGATATGTTGATGATATCTATGTGGAGATATATTTATTGGATCACTCTATGGATCCTTTTTTTTTGGCCTTACTGTAAAACATTCAATATTCACCGTAATGTGGCCCCAATGCCAGCTGCAACATACCCAAGTCATCACCTTTATGGCTGGGAGTTCAAGCATCCCCTGTCATGGTACGTTTATGACAGCCAGGGTTGCCCATACATTTGTTAGGATTCATATGGATAAAAAAAATATCAATAACCATAATACCCCTGTTAGTAAAGCCGGTGATGTTTATTTATCCAAGGGGGGGCATTCAATGAATTTTCTGAATTTCCACAATTAATCAGAGCGATTTAGCGATTTATTTGGACATATTTGGACCATCTACGCAGTTGTAGATGTGTCGGTTGCATGTTTCAACAAATGGTCACATTTCGATTTTTGGGTCTGTCCAAGAATTGCGGATACCTGGAACGTTTTTTTTTTTCAGGGGGAACAATGCTATAGATGATGGGATTTGGGGATGCCAATCTTTCAGTCAAACCCATCTGGAATTCAACAAACTCTGGAAGTTCGGAAGTTTGACCGACTGACATCTGAAAGAGGGTGCTCCATGCGATGTTTCATCTTTCCTTGCGCCTTTTTGAAAAGACCTGGATGTTGAATTTTTCACATCTCATTTCAAAGAATGGCGAGAATCCAGAGGGCTAGAACTGCCCACATCTGGTAGCAACTAGGAATTGATTGCTTTTTATTTTGCCAGGGCCTCTCTAAGACTCTAAGGTTTACCCTGATTGTGCCCATTTGAGCTGGGCGAACCAAACGCAGGAGTAGCTCAACCTCGTTCGTCCGCGGGGCTGGGCCCCAAAATCTGTGGTTCAACACATTTCTGGTTGGTGGTTGACCTACCCCTCTGAAAAATATGAGTTCGTCAGTTGGGATGATGACATTCCCAATATATGGAAAAGTAAACTTATATAATGTTCCAAACCACCAACCAGATTATATATCTATTAACCATTATATTTCTATTAACTAATCCATTTTCATCCATTTTCCATAATCCATGAAGCATTAAGAATATTCACCATTAATTTCCAAACCACCAACCAGTCAATATGACTTTGAAACTTTGAAACTTCATTTTTTTGGCCATTTTATTTAGGGGTACCACACGGAATACAGCGGGACTTTGTCGTCTGATATACCCACATAGACATGCCAAAATATACATGTGTAATGTGTATATATCTCGCCCTATTTCTCCCTCTCTCTCTGTCTCGCCTCTCTCCCCCTCTATCTTTCTCTTTCTATCCCTCGACTTCGCAATAACATGCCGTAATATCAGCCTCGCAACCAACATTTAGACCTCCATTTTGCAATCGACAATCCAGTCCATTTGGCTGATCAACCAAGACTTCAGATTGTTCAAAGATGTTCAAAGCATGTGGGCCATTTATAAACCAAAACTAGATTTCTTGGATGATTTTGGGGATTGTTCATGATTTTTGCCCATAAACCATGATAAACATGGTGAGATTGGCCAGGGTTTGATTAACTTGACTATCCGGAAACATGGATCCAATGTGATCCAGATGTGATCCAGTAGAACATCTCACAGTGAGATACCTACCTTCAAATCCAGCTTGGTAAAACAAGTTTAAGGATCCACCGTTTACCATCCACAAGTTTACCATGTTCCAAACATGGGCGGTTTTTCGGCCAAAATCTGGGAGGTTGCTGCCCTCGAATATCCTCGAATCATCAGAGATCATTGCTGAGATCACACCGAGTGTCCGAACGCTTGCGATGATGCGGTCACTGAAATCTGTCGCACATTGGCCTGCTCCACCTGGAAGTGTTTAGCGTTGGATGTTGGTGGCTTGGTATCCTCCAGGAATGGCCAACATCATGTGGTCAAAACAATGGCATAAACCATCCCCAAGTTCACCATTTTTATAGGTGGTATAAACATCAAACATGTGGTGGTTTATGGCGTTGTTTTACCCACAAAAAAACAGTGGATGAGCCAGCGAATCGCACTGCACCACCAAGTTCGGATGCTTGAAACCCGATCATGGGATGTTTACCACCAGTCAAAACTGGTGCAGGAGTTCGTCCATCGACAATTTTGCGATCGAACGGAAAATCACCATTTTTTTTAGTAGGTATATAAATCATGGAACATCATGGAACTAAATGGGCAATGGCTTCTATAGCAAATTGTTAGTTTACCAGGGTGTAAGTGATATGAAAGAAATCGGAAAAAAAAAACTTGTACACTGAAAGGTTCCCCTTCAGGAGCCATAGATTAAACATGATTCCAGCATGACTGGAAGACTGGTTGCCTCTGAAAAAAATGGTCCCAATGACATGCTTCGAAGTCACCTACTGTACAGCATTTACAAACATCATCGATACCTCTGGAAACCGGTTTCCAAATGATTAAAGGAAAACAAAGCGGGAAAGGCTTCAAGTGGCAGCCGTGAGGCCAAGGCAAAGCGGCATCCCTGTCCATCATATTAGAGGTATTCCTCGTCACATGTCTCCCTGTTGTAGAAGATGTGGTAATTAAATACCATCTGGTTATTTAACATAGCCATGGAAAATCATATTTTTTAATAGGTAAACTAACCATCTGTAAATGGGCCATTTCCCATGGCTATGTTAAATAACCAGAGGGTACCACAAGTGGATGGTACTTCCAACCTACTAATTATGTGAGTCACTACCGTGACTTATCATAATCGTTCAAGACTCCAGGATGAAAGAACTTCGGCGACGATCAGTTTGATCAAACTATGGAGGTCCCAACGGGCCGATTTTACCCTCTGGTTATTTAACATAGCCATGGGAAATGGCCCATTTACAGGTGGTTTACCTATTAAAAAATATGATTTTCCATGGCTATGTTAAATAACCAGATGGTAGTTCCCGAAGAAAAGCCGCCAGTCACCCAGTTTCAGGCACACAGTATTAATATTAGAAATTGTGAAATAGAAGAAACTACGCCGTTTGGAGGGCGGACGCATCTTCTACTAGCATTGTTGGTGTTGTTTGTGTCCTTCCATGTCAATAGGATAAAGCACATAAAACATCATAAAACATCATACCCTCTGGTAATTTAACAGTTTGCTATCGAACGTGGCCAATAGAAATAG